CAACAGAAGTGTGGCATATCAAGATGCTGATTAGACAGCATGATTATTGTACAGGTGTGCTTTAGGCTGGCCACAATAAAAGGCCACTCTAAAATGTGCAGTTTTACTGTATTGGGGGGTCCAGGGGGGTCCGAAAACCAGTCAGTATCTGGTGTGACCACCATTTGCCTCACGCAGTGCAACACATCTCCTTCGCATAGAGTTGATCAGGTTGTTGATTGTGGCCTGTGGAATGTTGGTCCACTCCTCTTCAATGACTGTGCGAAGTTGCTGGATATTGGCAGGAACTGGAACACGTTGTCGTATACGCCGATCCAGAGCATCCCGAACATGCTCAATGGGTGACATGTCCGGTGAGTATGCTGGCCATGCAAGAACTGGGATGTTTTCAGCTTCCAGGAATTGTGTACAGATCCTTGCAACATGGGGCCGTGCATTATCATGCTGCAACATGAGGTGATGGTCGTGGATGAATGGCACAACAATGGGCCTCAGGCCCGCAAAAAGTGTTGCGTTTATAATTTTGTTCAGTATATAATGGTACACAACTTATAACGTATCATGTGTATGTAACATATCCACATTAAATGACTTTTTTAAAAACGTGTCATTCTTAAATTCTATATTCTATTATATATTCTAGTACTTCTAATTCTGGTTTGGTAATGATATGCAATAAAGCTGCTTTCAGATTATGATGGAAATGTTTAAATTGCTCAAACTCACTTTGAGGCTCTGTCACTTGTAATTTCCATTTAAAATGAAAACTTTGTGAACTGTGTGACGTAATGGTAAATGAATAACGTATTCTATTTCTATTTTATTTCTATTCTATTTTAAAGGCACAATATGTAATTTTCGCCGCTAGAGGGCACGTATTCAAAATAAACAAATAGACAAAAGCGTAGTTTGATGACGCCGAGACGCCGTGTGGAATCATGGGAGTTGTGGACTTCATCCCCACAGCCGATGCAATCTGACGGGACTCGGGCAGAAATCATGTTCATGGATGAGCTAATGATTTATTAACATATTAGAATGAAGCAGGGTGAGGCTGAAAGCTGTCGAAGGGAAACGAGGCCGCTGAACGAGCGCGACACACGGCTCGAAAGCAGCGGAGCTTTTATTATGCCACAGTCGACCGCTTTCGCAGCTTCCGGTCGTGCGTATATGGGGTAAAGCAGCGGAGCTTTTATTATGCCACCGTCGAGCGCTTCCGCTCCTTCTGGTCGTGTGTATGTAGGGTAAAGCAGCGCTGTTTTATCATACTAGATACATTTGAAAGTTCTGTTATAATGCTACTCTGTGCAGTTGTCACTGGTCTATTAAAACGCACAACATATTAAAGCGTCTTTGGTGTTTCCATGTTTTCTACAAAACAAAACCGGAAATCGAGAGGTTATGACGTCATTGGCAGGCGACACAATGACACTATGGACACTAATTTTAACTACTAGTTAAAATTGCTTATTTCTCTGGATTTAAACATTCTTCAAAACATTTGTGATAATGTAAGTACACAAGTCAGCAAAATATATAACACTGTTCTAGTGGTTTTTGGATATTTTAATAAAAAAATCTTACATATTGTGCCTTTAACTGAACATTGAGTGTTTACTATTGTCCTTTTGCATTGACACACTATTTTCCTATTTAATACTGTAATGCTGCTTTTGGCACAATCTGTATTGTTAAAAGCGCTATATAAATAAAGGTGACTTGACTATTCTTTAAAAAAAAATGCTGCACACAAATGGAAAAATTAAATGAGAACATAATTAGGTTCTTAGGAAAATTCCAACTTTTTCAATTGTTTTAAGACTTTATATAAATTGATTATGGAAGAGAAGTTAAAAGTCTGGCTAGGTGACAAGCACAAAATAAGTTTTAATAATCATAATAATGAATAATGAAATTTGTCATTGCTATATTTCATCTCTATTTAAAATGAAGAAGTCACAAAATATTTTTTTAATTATTATCAAGCTTTTATTTCTGAACTATTAGTAAATATTGTATTATAAGTAAAATAATTCTATCATGATATATATTATTATTATGAAATGCATTTTCTCATATCATAATTACAAGTGTCATTACAAGACTCTGTTCTGTTCTTGATTTAAACAGACATGGATCAAAGCATTGAAGGATGAAGAAGAATCGATGGCATGAAGCTCTACAGACGCTCCCTCAGGATGAATGAATGTAGAAACTGGAGCATGTGTAGCTCTCACGTTCCTTACAGTAAAAAACACACACAAAAAATAGCATGTGTATATATGATTTTGTATATCATTATTAAAAAAAATTTCGTGAGTATACATGCAGCATTGGTTTGTGCCAGTGTGCTAAAATGTTCAAAAATAGCAATAGAGCATAGCCAGTATTAATCAGTTTGTCCATATGAAAATATATTCTGCGTGAAATACATATATGACCCTGGAACACAAAAGCAGTCTTAAGTCGCTGGGGTATATTTGTAGCAATAGCCAAAAATACATTGTATGGGTCAAAATTATTGATTTCTCTTTTATGCCAAAAATCATTAGGATATTAAGTAAAGATCATGTTCCATGAAGATACTTAGTAAATTGCCTACCGTAAATATATAAAAACTTAATTTTTGATTAGTAATATGCATTGCTAAGAACTTCATTTGGACAACTTTTAAGATGATTTTCTCAATATTTAGATTTTTTTGCATCCTCAGATTCCAGATTTTCAAATAGTTGTATCTCTGCCAAATATTGTCCGATCCTAACAAACCCTACATCAATGGAAAGCTTATTTATTCAGCTTTCAGATGATGCATACATTTCAATTTCGAAAAATTGCCCCTTATGACTGGTTTTGTGGTCCAAGGTCACATATTTGAACTGTGTTATAAGATCATATAAGAATACATTTTCAGATATAAAAATCACAGATATGTCTTGGATTAATATTTATTAGCAGTGTTTAAGATATGATGCATCTTATGTTATCATTATGAAGCGTCAAGTGAGAGACACAAGTGCTGTAATCTCAGATGATTCATTTTGATATTGAGCATTCCTGAACAATAAAAACAATCCAGTCCTCAGTGTTACATCCTACTCTCTCAGTTGCACTCAACCACATTCTCATGGCAAATGTGGAAGAAAAGGGGCAGTTCAGCCAAACACGAAAACCATGTACTCCCATAACTGTGTGATTACCAACAATCTTCAACATCTAAAGTTAATGACAGAACTGTCCTTTTTTGGTTGAACTACCCCTTTAGTGTCTTCAGATTCCAGTGATTGAATCCAGAAGATAAATCGTCAGAGTTGATGTGTGTGAATCTCACAAAAACATGTCCAGGTCTCGTTTCATTCAAGCGCCACCATTCTTCAGCACATTTTTAGAAATCCAGTCATCTCTGTAGCAATCTGCACTTTTGCATGAGGTGACGTGGATTCATGAAAGCTTGTCTTCTGTGTGAGCTGTGCTTCCAACAAAACCAAGTGTATTATAAAGGGCTTTCCTATCTGGAAGGGAGATGAACTATTATAAGGTCCATCCTATTGACTGCCGCAGTCTTGTTTTGTTCCTGGCAATCCCTGTGGCCTACCATTACTTTGTTTTGAGCTGGACTGATAAAAACACCAGTAGGCAAAGACTCCATCCTCTGTGGAAAGCAAACACATAAATGCTTTAAAGCTTATGTGCACACCTGATGACGGCGAGTGAAGCCTGGAACCTGCTAAAACCATAATTTAGTGCAAAATGCATGTGTAGTTTCTTGCAGCTTAGCATCATGCATGACATGAAGGAGTAAAACACACCAGAAAACTGACGTAGAATTTAAACAGCCACCAGTTCTTCACATTATGACAACATTTTAAAGGACTAGTTCACCGATTTTCATCCAGCCACACTGTCAGCAGTATATAAATGAACAATGTGTGCTATTTCTCCAGGCCAGCACTCGTATCTCAACATTTAACACACGTCATCCAGTGGACGTCTGACAGCTGCAAGGCTTTTGTTAAAATTACAGATCATACGTTCACATGATGGGCCCTGTTTTGAACTTCTACATTATTATCTGTGCTATTTATAGACCTGAATCATGGTGTCTTTGGCAGCTCTGTCTTTATTCAAATAATGCTTTGCATATGTCTCTCTAAATATCACCATTCGAGCCACACTGCTCAGTTGGGCTATATGTGGTTGCTCTGTGAAAATATGAAATTTGCAGAGGTTGTACTTTCAACATTTCTATTGAAGACGTCTGTCCTTTAAATAAAGGCACACAAAGCCTGGTTACTGACAAACGTGGTCTTCCCAAGAAAGCCTTCACCCCAAACGCTTAAAAATGCATTATAGAGATGGGCAAAGCTGGAAAAGGCCATGAAAGCATCGCTAAAACCTGAGTTTTGTTTGTCCACAGGTTTATCAGGAGATTTTACAGGATAATGTCAGGACAGCAGTTCATGATGCATGCAATCACAAAACATCCTCAAATATGTGTATTCTTAAGCCAGTTCAGATGCTGGGACTTATCCTAAAGATGCCCGGAGTTTTTTTATTTTTTTATTATTATTTTTTTTTTTAGTCATATAAATCTAATGAAGCACTGACTCTTTGTTAAAGTCCTAAATATTTGATTTTATTTCTATTTACACACACACAGGCCTATAGAAAGATGCATAAAAAACCACAATGAAAATGTGCAAATGCATCTGCGCGCGCGTGACGCAAAGCGGAAGTCTCGTGGTCGCACGCATGTGACGTCACGCGGAACGCAGTGACTGTTTGTTGATGCTGGGACTTATCCTAAAGATGCCCGGAGTTTTTTTTATTTTTATTATTACTATTATTTTTAGTCATAGAAATCTAATGAAGCACTGACTCTTTGTTAAAGTCCTAAATATTTGATTTTATTTCTATTTACACACACACAGGCCTATAGAAAGATGCATAAAAAACCACAATGAAAATGTGCAAATGCATCTGCGCGCGCGTGACGCAAAGCGGAAGTCTCGTGGTCGCACGCATGTGACGTCACGCGGAACGCAGTGACTGTTTGTTGATTTTTCGAGTTGCTCAGAACGGCGTTATTTTTACCGATAGTATTTATTTATGATTTCAACCATGTTTGCCAGGCAGTGAACGTGCTGTTTATGCCGCTGCGCTGTAAAGACGTCAAAGAGCGGAGCGCGAGCGGCTGGTCATCTTCAGGATTCCAGGTGAGTTACACAAAGCAGATGAAACAGATCTGATTAATAATCTCATCAGATTCAGTCATGTGTTACATTCATGTAATGCTGGGATTAATGTCAGCGAAATGCTCTAATGGATTCATAGGTTCTAATGTTACTCGATACGAAACACATCCAGAGTGAACCATGGGAACTGGAATACAGTTGTATTATTATGAAAGAAAAATAACAGATCTGCTTATTAACGTCTGAACAAGTCATGTTGTCCAGCCAATGTGCAAAACCCCAAACAATACAGTAAATTACAGCAATTTCCTTTCGAGTTTCTGCTGCTGTCGTTGTGAAATCTGTGACCACATCAGCATGTGAGGGATAAAAGTCCTGTTTTTGTAATATTTTATCTTAAGCACTCCTTTGACAGACACATGTTGGATACATAATACTCCATAAACTCTACATACGCTACATTCTTAAACAAAATTACAGATGTCTGCATGTCCGTATTGACACTTCCGATCACCGCAGAGTAGATGTATACAGAGGTGTATTATATTATAAACTGTGATGAAATCTGCAGTATTTTCAGGACTGGTCTTGTATGGTGTGTGAGTCCGTGTGGGGTCGGCTGTGATGGCTATCCTGTTTGCGGTGGTGGCTCGAGGGTCCACTGTTCTGGCTAAACACGCCTGCTTCTCCGGAAACTTTCTGGAGGTGACGGAACAGATCCTGGCCAGAATCCCGTCGGAGAACAACAAGCTGACGTATTCCCACGGCAGGTGCGGCTGAGGGTGAGCTGTTGGGCTGTGAGTGTTGAGTGAGGCCCGCTCTGATGTCCTGCACTTCTGCTGTTTTCCAGCTATCTCTTCCACTACATCTGCCACGAGAGGATCGTCTACCTGTGCATCACCGATGACGTGAGTATCTGTGCCAGAGCTGTGTTTGTGTCCGGCTGCGGTGCGGTGCAGTGCCGTTCTGAGCTGTGCGTCGCTCTTGCAGGAGTTTGAGCGCTCGCGTGCCTTCGGTTTCCTCAGCGAGGTGAAGAAGCGCTTCCAGACCACCTATGGCTCACGAGCTCAGACCGCGCTGCCCTACGCCATGAACAGTGAGTTCTCCAGCACGCTGGCTGCACAGATGGTACGTATTTGAACATGCTTCACGTTTCACGATTGCCGACAGCTCGAGAACCGGCCTCAAAAGTCTCTGGATTTCACAAAAACACACCACATATAGCATATACAGTGCGTGCATAATTATTAGGCACGTTGATATTCTGATAGTTTTTTTTTCCCAAGCACATTTCACCAATTCCAAACCACATCAATCTTAATAACTACTATTCATTTTGTATTTGATCATTTATAAGTGATATATAATTGTCTATGAAGGACGGAAGTAGAAAAACTCCTTATGTTCAGGTGTGCATAATTATTGGGCAGGTTTTCTTTTACAGATAAAATGAGGCAAAAAATTGATTTAACTAAAAGTAAAAAGTGAATCAATCTGAATTGTGAGGCGTACAGGAGCATTAGCTGAGGATGTAACGCCAGATGCGTACTTGTACTATATACAAACCCAATTCCAAAAAAGTTGGGACACTGTACAAATTGTGAGTAAAAAAGGAATGGAATAATTTACAAATCTCATAAACTTATATTTTATTCACAATAGAATATAGATAACATATCAAATGTTGAAAGTGAGACATTTTGAAATGTCATGCCAAATATTGGCTCATTTTCGATTTCATGAGAGCTACACATTCCAAAAAAGTTGGGACAGGTAGCAATAAGAGGCCAGAAAAGTTAAATGTACATATAAGGAACAGCTGGAGGACCAATTTGCAACTTATTAGGTAAATTGGCAACATGATTGGGTATAAAAAGAGCCTCTCAGAGTAGCAGTGTCTCTCAGAAGTCAAGATGGGCAGAGGATCACCAATTCCCCCAATGCTGCGTATATGTATGTTAAGAAATTTACTCATTACTAAAATAGACCATTTGCACCTTTATTTTGTCATAGCACATCAGCCTTTGATTCTTTCAGCACAGATGAAGAATTAGTGTCCCAAAAACAAACAAACAAAACTACGAGAGGGTGCAGATGTGGGTCATGTGGTTTTAGGATTAAGAGGCCTGTGATGGTGTTGAGCTTTAGCTTAGACCTCATTGAATGCTTTCACATGACTGTGTTAATCTGAGATTCTCCAGTCTTTGTTAGAGAGGAGTGTAGCCAATGAAGTGTTTATTTAGCAGACACCTCTTAACTTTCCACAACCCAACAGTGATTTAAAGTAACGGTACAGCACTGACAAGTCTCCCAGGAGTAAAAAAAAATCAAAAGTTGAAAGAATGTCTGTCAGCTTTTGCTGCAGCATGACACAGGTGTCCATTGACCATTGTTAAATCTTGTCTTTTCGTGGTATTATCAGAAGGAGCCAGGAGCTGTCTGGTTAGCATCCCTGAGCTTCAGCAGCAGTGCGTTAGAGATTGCATTGACATGCATGTGCTTCACTGTTATTGCTAGAAACACCACTCGGATCCCAAAGGCTCGGACAGACTGACAGAAACACAGATGCACGTGGACGACTTGAAAGGCATTATGGTCCGGAACATCGGTGAGACTCACTTTATTCAGTTATTATAGATGTCGGCGGTAACCTTCGAGTGAACATGTGCTGCGTTGTGTTGCTGTAGATCTCGTCGCTCAGAGAGGAGAGAGACTCGAGCTGCTCATCGATAAAACTGAGAACCTGATGGATTCTGTGAGCTGCTGTTTTAAACTTTAGTTTAAGTCACTTTCTGGGATGTATGCTGATGATTATTCCTCTTGTATGTGCAGTCCGTCACCTTTAAAACTACGAGCCGTAACCTGGCCCACGCCATGTGTATGAAGAACCTGAAGTTAACCGTCATTGTTGTAATAGTGGTGCTGGTAAGTTCTGGAGCTCACCGTAGATAAACGTCACACTGCAGTGACAGACAAACCTGAGAGAAACACAGCAATAACAGTATCTCAGTGTGTGAATTGTGTAGAAGAGTGATTTCCTCCCATTTCAACCCAACAGCAGTTGTTGCAAAGAGATCCAAACTGTTTAGTGTCCAGTCACCTTTATTTAAATAGCACTTTATACAAAACATTGTTTCAAAGCAGCTTTGCAGTGTAAAACAAGAAAATGTTTCAGTGATGCTCAAAAAAGACTAATAAACTGTTAAATGTTGTAAAACAGAATAAAAATCTACTTCAAAATAATCAAGTCATGTTCTCCACACAGTGTTTCCATTAAATGAACCCAAAAATATTAGGTAATGGTAAACATTTCTCACCCCATCTTTAGTCCTGCCCCAAATACATGCCAGCGGTTGAGCTTTAATGCTGCTTTGTCAGACGCATCCATTCTAACTAGAAGCAAGCCATTTGTAGACAGATTATAACACCACAAAAAACAGTATCGTACTACATTTAAGACACAGAAATCGTAAAAATGCTCAGACAGTATTATTGGCATCTTAGAGCGAATACTTGACCCATGTCTTGATGGCAATAACTTCCCCCACCATTTAAACCAGACAAAATTACCAAAGAAACCAAGCCAGTAACCGAGACGGTGGTTTGAATCCCCCCAATCTTTCTGATCCCATTCTTCTCCCTCGTCCCGTCACATATCAGCTTGGAGAGGCATTTATTTTAAACAAAAAATGAAGAAAACATTCAAAAAGTGGAAATGAAAGACTAACAGGTATTTAATAGTGGGAATAAAGTGTTTAACGGTTATAACTGAACTGATGTGGTGTCCTCCTCGTGTTGTTTGGACGGGCTGTGCAGTTCATATTGTTACCGCGCTCAAACCAGTGACTCCTTCAGTGTGGTTAAGTTTAGTTTACTTTGTAATCGCATTCTCCTGTGATGAGTTGAAAATATAAAAATGACTTATTCAACCAGTTTGAATAGAGAAAATGATGCTTTCAACTGTTTTCTCACGTGTGTGTGCTGCAGTGAACATGAACAAAAGAAAGAAACCAGAGGATTTTCTGAGCAGGTCGGACATGAGTTTATAAGAATAGGCAATCTCCAGACCACATCTCTGCAGACCATGACGTTCCTGTTTCCACTGTATGTAATGTGTCAAAAAGATTAAAGGGACAGTTCACCCAAAAATGAAAATTACCCCATAATATACTCATCCTAGATGTATATGACTTTCTTCTTTCAGACGGATACAATCGGAGTTATATTTAAAAATATCCTGGCTCTTTAAAGCGTTATAATGGGAGTGAATGGGTGTTGAGATTCAATAGTCCAAAAGAAGTCCAATAAAGCACATCCATCCATCATAAAAAGTGCCTCACACGGCTCCGGGAGGTGAATAAAGGCCTCCTATAGCGAATCGATGTGTTTGTGTAAGAAAAATATCCATATTTACAACTTTATAAACCGTAATCTCTAGCTTCCGCTAACTGTTGTACGCACGTTCATTCCGGCGGATGTTGACTAGGCGAGAGGAGAACTGGTCCCCGACTGAGCCTGCTTTCTCCAAAGGTTTTATTTTTTTCTCCATTTCTGTCTACTGATGGATTTTGGGTTCCTTGCCACTTTGGCTTGCCTTGTTGAGGTCTGAGAGATGTTTTAACTTTCAAAAGATTACCGATAGAACCGCACTGACTGACACCATCAGATCAGAACAAAACCTGAACTGAGTTAAGGTGGATCATCTTCTGTAGAGCTGCTTTACAGCTTAAACACATCTCGCAGCATTGACAATCAACATCGAGCTACTCGAGTCAAGCTGAATAATGACATTGCTGCCTTTTGTA